GTCACCAGAAGTACCAAAATAAAAGCTCGAGATGGTCAGACTGTGTTTATAGAATCAAATAACGAATTAAAACCAACTTATCGGGGGAAATGAACACTTGAACATACGTTAGCGTGATAATAACTACCTAAAATAACAAGAAATATGTTTGGAGAAATTTTATTTGACGTGTACTTTGAGTTGTTAGTGTCCCTTCAGAGGGACTAACAACCTAAGCTAAGCTAACAACCGTTAGCTCTTAGCCCCATTACCAGTGTCTGTAATGACTGATTAACTCTTAAACGGTCCGTGAAAAAAATATTTTTTCCAGCGGATGTCTTAGTTACAACATGATTGAGCTAGCAAAGCAGTTTTGTGTTGCGATGTGTGGTATTTATTCAGTTTTGGGAAATCACAATGTCTAGAAAGCATCAGTGGCCGCAGCAGCAGCAAAGCTATCAGGACGTCATCTGTTAAAAGCCTCCCGTTGTCGGATATGACATGAAACTACTCCAGTTAGCTCAATCATGTTGTAACTAAGACACCCGCTGGAAAAAAATATTTTTTTTTCACAGACCGTTTAGAGTTAATCAGACATTACAGACACCGCTAACGGGGCTAACAGCTAACGGTTAGCCCCGCTAATCTACGATAACAATGTTATTAATTTCAGAACGTGATAGTAATGTTTGTTCAGTCATTGTGTTTATAGACTTTACAAACACCAGATTAGTCTAAACAGTGACATAGTGACGTGAAAAATGTGAGATATGCATATATATATGTAGCTAAACTCCGCTGGTTTTCTACCCAGAAGTATTTGTAAACAACCAGGCGATTCCCTCTGAAGGGACACTAACAGCTCAAAGTACACGTCAAATAAACTTTCTCCAAACATGTTTTTTTGTTATTTTAGGTAGTTATTATCAATGTAATAACTAATGTATGTTCAAATCTTCATTTCCCCCGATCAGTTGGTTTGAATTTGTTATTTGATTCTATAAACACAGTCTGACCATCTTGAGCTTTTATTTTGGTACTTCCGGTAACCGGCAGTGTGAATTTGCATATTAGCTAAATATTTAGTTTCACCCAGAACATTTAGTTTTAACATTTAACATTTAGATTTAACATTTAACATTTAGATTTAGATTTAACATTTAGATTTAACATTTAACATTTAGGTGCCACATTTAATATTTAGATTTAACTATTTAATATATTTCTAAGTTAACAAATATTGCTGTAAATGTGGTAAAAGGTGACATTAAAAAATTCACAACACTTTTTTAAACATTGTTTGAAGCTAAATGTAGCAAAATGTTGATGTTATTTTCAGCGTGAGCCACTTTACCGCATTTCATTAATGTGTGTATGTAGTGAGTTTAAGGTTTTGTGTGTGTATGCGTGCGTGTGTGTGTGTGTGTGTGTGTGTGTGTGTGTGTGTGTCTTCATGCGTGCATACATACATGTCTCTTAATGTGGCTGATCTCTTTATTCTTGTTCTCCATCAGCTCATAGTTCTTCTTCCACTTCATTTACACAGACAGAGAGACAGACAGACAGATGGATGTTGATTATCTGCAGGAAGTGACATTCTGACACAAAACCTGAGACTATCTGGACTGTTGAATCTAATGTTGTGTTTCCTCTCAGAGCTGATTGGCTGAATACAACTGTTTGTACATCACAGTCAAACACAGACGTACAACAAATATACATTTAGCTGTTAGAATTTCTTGTATCTTGTAAGTCTTTTACCTAGACATTCTGTATAATGTCCTGCAGACCCTGAGCTCTTCAACAGCTCAAAAACCTACTTAACACGCTTCATTACCTTGATACTTACGATTTTTGAACTGATGATATGATATTTATTATGCTGATCTGTTCTGTACGACATCTATTGCACGTCTGTCCGTCCTGGAAGAGGGATCCCTCCTCAGTTGCTCTTCCTGAGGTTTATACCGTTGTTTCCCCGTTAAAGGGCCAGTGTGTAAAATGGGTTGAAAACAGTGACATCAGTGGTCAAATTCTAGATTGCAGGGCTCACTCGCTCACCCCTCCTGTCGGGTAAATGACGGTGGCCTCGTAGGAACAAAAAGCCTTGCGCACGACTTTTTCAGGAGTAGGTCTATCTAGCGACGAGGTGAATGTTTATTTAGAAATCTAAGCCATGTAACGATATTGTAATGGATCCCTCACGAGCAGGAGACCAGAGTAGCGTTCGGGAAAAAGGCCAGTTTATTTGAGCACTCCAGAAACTCCGGTAACACTCCAGGGGGTAAAAGACTCTGTCCCAAATCGTTGGGGAGATATATCATCAGGAGAAAAAGCACCGCAGAGAGTGCATCACAAGGAGTGAAGTTGCGTCTTCTTTTCCTTGCAGATGACGGTTCGGGTTCATTCTCTCCTGTTGCGTGGTAAGTGTGGTCCATTCGCAAACTTTATAACTAAAAAAAACTTTTCACTACTCTCTATCTACGAACTACTAACACTCTCGGCTGTTTCCTCCTCCTTCTTCCTTCCTTCCGCTGTCTTCGTTGGTTTATTTATACACGCGAAACGCGTTCTCTGGCTGGCTGGATTGTCCACTCGGTCTGCCGTACATACATGGCAGCGCAAGATGGCGATCTCTCTAAAGCAAGG